CCCTCCCCAGCCCCCAGGTCACCCATTAAGAACTTTGGTCTAAGCACTCGGGAGCCCAGGAAGGCCTCTGAGCGGGGGAGAGACCCCGTCGGCTCTCGGTTTCAGGGAGCCCCTCTGGTGGGTGTGGGGAAGGGGGCTGGAGGGAGGCAGAGGCCCAGAAAAGTCCAACCCGGGGGACCGTCGGGGTGGGGAGCAGGCTGCAGACCAGGGCAGAAGGGGCCCCGTCATGCTCGGCCACCCAAGGCCCCCGACCAGGCTCCAGAGGCTACACTGGGTCCTGCTCTGCCCGGGAGGGAGCGAGCCGCAGGGAGGAGAAAGAGTCCCTTTGTTCCCAAAGTGGGAACAGGTGAGTCCCTCTGGCGCCTCTCCCAGGCCAGAAGGCAAAGTCAACATTTGTCCTTGTTGTCCTGTTAGCCACCCCCTGCCCCTGTCCACGTGGCTGCCCGCGGCCGCCGGGCTCACGAGGCCACCTGTGCATCTGGAGGCCGCGGCTTGATGGACACTTCCCGAGCGTCCTCCGGCCACTCAGTCACGCCTTGGTGTTTACCCAGAGGAGCCAGAAGCCCTGTCACTCAGGATGTTTGCAGCAGCAGCTTCATGACGGGGACAACTTGGAAGCAGCCAAGGTGGCCTTTGGGGGTGGACAGATAAACAATCTGTGGCACATCTGGACACCGGAATCTTAGTCAGTGATACCAAGATAGGAGCCCCGAGCCAGGAGAGGGCTGAGGACGCTGAACTGTGACCAGGTGGAAGAAGACAGCCCGAGGACCCCATGCCACACGACCTTCCAGAACCGGTGACACTGTGGGGACCATGACAATCCAGACCGGTGGTGGCCAAGGCCAAGGGGGACGAACAGGAGCATCATGGGAGATCTACAGGACACGGACCTGATACAGTAGTGACCACACGTCTCCTACATCTGTCCAAAGCCACAGAACACACAGCACCAAGAATGAGCCCGGCCGTGACCACGGACTTGGGGTGCTTATGGGGCCCATGTGGGTGCAGGGCTTGTGGCAGACGTGCCCCTCGGGGTGGGACCTTGGCAGTGGGGGCTCAGGAGCACGTGGCAGGGGGCACCTGAGACCTCTCTGGACGCCTCCCAGCGTCGCGGTGACCTAATGAGTCTGTTAAGGCAGCTCCTCGGGCTGAGCTGCACCTGAGGCCATTTCCCCTGGAGCCCGGCCCCTGCCCGGCCTCTGCCTCCTCGCCCTGGTCCTGCAAGGGGACCACAGGCAGGGCTCTAAGGACTGCAGGACCCTGCTCTCAAGTGGCCCGTGGTGCAGTGGCGTTCCAGCGCCACCCAGATGGCCGGGTAGGGAAGGCACAGGTCAGGAGCGTGGCCTGGGCCCCAGGGTCTGCGTCTGAGGGGGTCATGGCTCCCTTAGTTGACCGCGGCCCTGCTACTGACCTTCTCTGAGCCTGGCCCCTTTCCCTGGCCAGGGGCAGCCCTGTCATAGCTTCTTGGCAGGGTGAGGCTGTGACCCCAGAAGTCCCCTCTAGAGCCACACACATCAGGACGATGAGGAGGGAGCCTCAGGGGCAACGGGCCAGCAGGCTGGAAGGGGACTCTGTCCTTAAAAAGCCACCCTCCTTAGGGGTGACAGGTGCACAAAAGTCTCTGGGATTTGGGGGAGACCCGTCAGATAGGCAGGTGCCAGGGGAGTCCCAAATCTCTGGTGGCCTGCCATCGGAGGATGTCCTGGATTCTGTGCTTCTGAAGGAAAGTCACCCGTGAAAAAGCTCATGATCACGTCCTTTTAGTTCCTTTCTCGGGAGCAGCTGAGCCCCAGTGCATCACGAGGATACAAAAGCATCTTTCACCACAGAATAGGGGAGACAGCGAAGGCCATTGTCCCCCCACCCCGGGGAATAGGGCCAAATAATGGGAGAGCCACTTTCTCTGGACAAGATGGTGAAGTGTGAGTTGGCTTCGCCAGAGGCATCCTCTACACCGAAGCCATATGCTGTGTGGCCTACAAAAGGGGTGACTCAGATTGTCACGGGCTGACCCCATCTGCTCAGACACGTCCCTGTGCAGGGAGCTGGCCCCTTCCTGCAAGAGCCCACTCGCAGAGCAGCTGACACCCTATGAAGCTGGTGCCCGCGTACTTCCCGAGTGGGCAGGGAGGTGCCGTTCTGAGAACTCGATGCTCTACACCGTGTGACATGTGTCTTAGGATCTGCCTCTCCCCCACCCCCACTTTGAGTTTTCTTGTTCTTAAAGCTGATTCTTCACCTCACTCTTTGTCTTGGGCAGCAGAACTGCCTGCTTTCTGCTCCCGTGGCCTTGGCCGGTATAAATCCCTTGTCTTCTTCAAAAAGACCCGGAGTTTTAGTTGGAATTTTGGAATCACACCTTAGCAAAATCACCTAAAAGCAAGTGGAGCTAGAGGGTCGTCTAGGTTTTCCATCAGTAATAAGATTAGAGCAAAGCCTCAAACAATGGCCTTTCCTGCGCCCATTCTTTGAACACAGCGTCAGGGGGCAATTGCTGTCTTCCAGGCCAGCCCTAAGAGCAGCTCGAGCAAAGGCCCTGGGGCAGGAGGCAGAGGGTACATCAGGGAGGTAAGAGGCTGGCGCAGGAGACTTGGGCTGCCTTTGGGATGACTGGCTAGAGATTAGCAGGTCACGGTCCCCCCAGCTGGGCTTCTGTGGGACAGTCCAGTCTTTGCCCAGAATGGTGGGTGTTGAATGTGGCAGGTGAGAAAGTGCACTGCTTGGTTATCTGTCCCAGGGACCTGCTGCAATAGAATGGCTAGTGACCAGTCTCTGGGTCATGTCTGTATCTGGTCACACTGAAGGAAGTCTTAAGGGACCTCGTTTTCTGGTATGTGTCTATATTTTGACATGAGCCTTATCCACATGCACTGTTGGAGCGGCCGAAGTGCCTGGGTCTCGGGCTGTTCCTGCTGTCACTGAGCGCCTTGCCCTGGGTGGCTCAGACAGCAGACTTTGCTTCTCCCAGTTCCGCAGGCTGCAAAGGTCAAGGTCGAGGTCCAGCTGATGAGGTGTTTGGTAAGGGCCTGCTCTGGGTGCTGAGATGACGCCTGGTCACGGTATAGTCCCATGGGAGAGGACGGGCAGGAAAGGGACAAATGCTGTGTCTCCACATGGCAGAGGGGCAGCAGAGCGGCAGGCAGCTCTGTGAAGGCTCTTTCCTTCATCCTGTTCCCGAGGGCAGAATGTCATGGCTCAGTCCCACCCACAACAGTGCCCTCACCACCCTCAGTGCCCCCACCCTCAGGCTAAGTCCCACCTGTGGTTTTAGGGGGCTTGAGGGGGGCCCCAGCTCTGGAGCAAATGATGGGAAGCGTCATGAGCTTTTTCACGGGTGACTTTCCTTTTGAAGCCCTTGGCCCTCATGGTGACAGTCATCCACCCCCACCAGGAGGAGTTGGTGGCATCAAGGTCACAGGCTTTGGCAGGAGGCAGAACAGGATTCGAGTCCTCCATCCACCAGGGCCAGCAGGACCACCACCACCCACCCCCCTGCGGCCCTCCCCGGGCTCCCGCCCTCCAGGCCTCCCCACGCGGGTCGACACGCCCCGGGCCTCTCTGCAGCGGTGTTTGCTCTGGGGGAGCCGGGGATCCCTGCTTCCTCAGCCCCGGGTCTCTGGGCGGAATGTTTGCTTTGGAGCTGTTGGATGGACGCAGGGAGATGGAGGGCTTCCCATCACTTCCCAGCCGTCCATCACCCGGTGCCACGTCTCCCCAGCACTGGGGCCACTCACCATTTATAAGGCTCATCCCGCTGTAGAGCCCATTAGGAAGCAGCGACCGAGGCCAGCGACATCGTGACACCTGCGAGATCCAGGTAACGCGGCAATGATGCGCTCTCCAACCGCCTTTTCTTAAATCAGACGTGAAACCAGACCAATCTGTTAGTCCCTGTGGCCTGCTAAAACGCCTACTGTGTTCTAGCACAGAACAGGAGACAGGCTTCAATTAGGAGAAGCCCAGAGGCAGCCGGGGGACCCTGCCCCTCTTCCCTCTGCTGTCCCCAAGGATGGCTTTCGTCTTCCTGCTGATCAAATAACTGCTGAGAATGGTGGCCAGGAGTGGGGCTCACAGGGTCCCCTGAACTTTTCAGGTGCCTCAAGAGGATTGGACCCCCTCAGCCGCTCCCTGGGGGTCTCAGGTCTCACGGGGAGCCATTTACAGGGCCATTGGGTTGAAGTCCCAGCTAATGACACCAACGACACCTTTATGGAGTCTTGAGCACCGAGAGTCGAGGGGTGGGGTCCAGGTTCTGGGGACCGACCCCAGGGCAGGGTGCGCTCCGTTTAATCAGCCCCGGGTCTCCACGGCCTTGACCCCGGCCGACTCCAGGCTGCCATGACTACTCGGATTCCCACCAAATCCCAGAAATCACCAATGACTCTCATCAGGACCACAGGGCTCCCAGCACTCTGCGGCCCTCTGGAGAGCACCCACACCCGAGGGTGCTGTGCTAGGTGCTGTGCTAGGTGCTGTGCTAGGTGCTTACGCAGAGGCTGAGAGCCAGGGCCGGATGCTCACCTGCGCTTTGCCAGATGAGGAAACCGTGGCTCCAGGAGTCTGCATTGCCCAGGTTTCTCCCGCAAGTCGGTGGCAGGACTGGGACTGTCTCTGCCATCTGCCTCTGAGGCCAGGGCCACCAACAGTGCAGTGAAGAGTTGTCCTGCCTGGAGGCTTGGGCGGTGCTGGGCAAGACGTGGGTCCAGAGCCCCTTCTCCTGAGCCAGGTCACGCGGCCCCGCCAGGCAAGGCCGTCCCGCTGCAGGAGAAGCTTCGTGCCCAGGGCCTGGCACAGTTGCGGGTCTGTGGCCTTGGGCTGGGACTTTTTGCTCCCGCTGTCCCCTCTGGCCTCTACCATGAGGAAAGGCGTCTGTAAATGGGTGTTTGTGAAACGGGTTCCCCTGTGTTCTGGGGCACCCTCAGCCCCCATCTCTGGGCACCCCTTCTCCGGGGACCCACGACTCTCTCCCTGCCCCCGCAGGCCCCTGAACCGAGATGCTGAAGGTCTCCGTCGGCCTCGTGCTTCTCTGCGGGCTCCTCGGCTCCCTGGAAGCCCAGCAGCTCCTCAGTGGTGAGAAAGCCCATCCTGGGGTGGTGCCTGGGCTGCCCAGACCTGTAGCCTCTCCTTGAAGTCCAGTCCACAAATGCCAGTCTCACTAGCACAGTGCCCCGGCTGCCATGAGCACTACCCATCATCGGCATCCTGGTCACCACTACATTTAATCCACTTTTCCAAAGAGTCCCCCCTTCCCTGTCTCCTCGTCCTAGCTTATCTATCAAAACCCATGGCCCAGCCCTGCATGGAAGAGTCCCTGCCCGACTCTCCTACCACCTTACCTTACCCCCTCCATCCTGCCTCAGTCCCCTCTGCAACACATTAAGCACACCCCAGGGCCTTTGCACATGCTGTTCCCCCTGCCCGGAGCACTCTTCTCCTACAACCTGCCTTATAATGTGGCTGCCTCCCTTCTGTCATGTCTCTGCTCAAATGTTGCCTTTGCAGAAAAGCCTTCTTGGACCTCCCTGCATGAACTGCTGTCCTCATCTGGTACTCTCAATTCCTCACCCTGTCATTTGTTTTTCCCTTGAAAGGCTGGACTGACAATCAGCTGACTTCGTGTCTGGTCATTCTGTCCTATTCTGGAAATATCCCCACACTCAGAGGCTCCCAGGTGGCTGCTCCTCGTCAGCCCACCACCCAGCTTTCCCTGGAGAATGCCAGCTTCCTCCCAATCCCAAACCTGGGGAGTTTACGCCTGGCACAGCCTGGGGACAGGACATGGCCACCAGACTGTAGCCCATGTGTTCTTGAGACCGGCCACGCCCGAGCTGAGCTGAGCTGGCGGCCCCCTCCCAGCGCTGGCTGGATCCTGCTTGTCTCTGTGCCCACTGCGGGATCACCTGTGTCCCCTCGTCCCTGGCTGGAATGACAGCTCCACAGGGTGTTCCCCGCTGCATCCCAGCTCAGGGCAGGGCTCAGGGACGTGTGGGCCTCTTCGGGTGCCTGCAGGCTGACGGAGTGGACCTGGACACAGCCCCCGAGGCCAGAAAGATGAGTTACTTCTGCAAACAAGCAAATAAGTAAATAAATTGGGCCGTTCAATGCTTATTTGCTTGTTTGCAGAAGTAACTCAAAGACTGGTCAGCGCCGGCTTCCTGGCCACCGCGGGCTCCACCAGCTTCCAGAGGTGGCTCAACAGGGCCTTCTACAGGAACGCCAGCCCCCAGGACCTGCTGGGCAGTCTGCTCTTCAGAGCCAACGGGAATCTGGGGTGAGTGGTCTCGGAGGCTGCCTGCATCCCAGGGTCCCAGTCTGTGGGTTTGTCGGGCGTGTGCTGACCCTGCCGACCCTCACTTAGAGCCCTGGTGCCCTGGACCCCCATTGTGAGCAACTCTGCCCCAGGACGAGGCAGGAGGCTGGAGCGAAGGACAGAGGGAGACGCTGGTTCCTGTCCCCTGATCCCCTGTGCGACCCCTCCAAGCTCCTCCCCTCCCTGCACCCCAACTTCTGCTCCCATTAAGTAGCATTTACAGCAGCGACCCCCACAGGGGGCGCTGAACGTTAAATGAAATAATATGTGAGACAATGGCCGCCCCTGTCCCCGGTGACAGAACAGCAGCCCTGATGACGTGATAACAGGGGGTGAGGCCCAGCAATCCTGGGCTCAGGTCGGCCACAGCAACGCGGGGACCTGGGCCCCTGTCCCCCGGGCATTTCAGATTCCACACGTCAGCGGCCAGTCCCACCCTCCCGGTCCCCACCAGCCCGCCCCTCCGAGCGCCTCTCCCCGGTCAGCTCTGCCCGGGGGACTCTGAAACATCTGATCGTTGTCCCCACCTCCTTTCCTCTCAGGCCGCCTCACGTCCCCGTCCTGGGCCTGCCCCCTAGCGCTCCTCAAGCAAACCTAAAGTCCCCAGGGTTGGCCCAAGGCCCATGCAGTCTGGCCCTGGACGCCCCTCTGACCTCTTCTCCTCACTGTCCCCTGAGTCCCTTGCTGTCCCCCGGCTTCAGCCATGTTTTAGGCTCGGCCTGCACCTGCCCCACCTTCTGTCCACGTGACCTGTACCCCCACTTCATGACTCCACCCAAATGTCCCTTCCCTGGCCACCCGTCTAAAGTGCTGCTCTTCCTAGTGTCACCCTCCCTCTCCTGACCCGGTGGGCCCTCTGCCCACAGCACCTATGCCTGACAGGGCAGCGTGACTCACTGGCCAGTTATTCTCTTCCCTGCCACCCACCCCTCTACAGCTCGGGGCTCCCAGTCATTAGCCCGGGGGTCCCAGCTGAAGGGGCTGGACCTGGGCAGGACACAGTCAGGGAGAAGCTCTCAGGCAAGCGCTTCGTCTCCCTCAGGCCTGGACTCCACGTGCCAGGAGTGCCTAGCAAAACAGGTCACCTGGTCAAGGGTGAGGGCCACCTTTGCACAAGGGCGGCCGTGGCTCTGTCCAGGACCTGCCTTGGCCCCAGGCGAGGTCCTCCCACACCTGAAGTCCCAGCCTCCCCACGGGGCTGTTTCTTCCCCCAGGATACAGGTCAAAGACACTCAGCTCCTCCAAGTCTCCCTCGAGGTCAGCGCTGCCAGCAACGAGGCCTACCTGAGGGTCCCGCTGTTGTTTGGTGTGGTGATCAAGTAAGTGACAGCTGTGGGTCCCCAGCTCCAGTGGCTTGTGCAGGGGGCGCGGGAAGGTGGGAGGCAGGCAGAGCCAGAGAGTGTCCCTGGGAGAGTCTTGGTCAACACCTGCCCTCTCTGGGCCTGGGTCCCCCTCATACAGCAGACTGGGGACTCCACAGGTCACTTGAGTGCTTCCCACTGGGGACCTTCTGGGGGAGAAGAGATTCAGACTTCACGAGTCCTCTCAGCTCCAATCAAAATCCGCTCTTGACCCCAACGCCCTTTGGCACCTTTGCCTGGGGTCACCCTGGGGGGCTGTGTGTGGCCCTCAGATATTTAGTCTGCACAGCATGTTTTCAGAGTCTTCCAGAAGATTCTTTCCAAGCTCAGACAGTCTCTCAGTTTCATAGGATGCCACATCCAGAATTGAGCTTTTCCTTTTTGTCCCCAGAACCCGAGGCACAGGTGTCAATCATCTGTCCTGCGTGCAGCCCGTCTGATCCAGCCCCACGGCTTGGGAAGAGCTGGGCTTGTTCCCAGCCGCCTTTTAAACGAGATGATCTCTCCGGGGTGCTCGGGAGGCTCTGAGCAAATCTGGGGCCGCGCGTAGGAACAAAGGGGGGCCTGGTAGGCTCTGGGGTTCTCTCCCCCAGCCTCAGCTCTGCCCTGCCCCCGCCCCCTGCAGCTCACTCACCTTCAACGTGAGGGCAGACATACTGGTCCAGCTCACCCTGGAGAAGGATCTAGAAGACAGATACATACTCGCCTTCCGGGACTGCCGGCTCTTGCCTCAGTTTTTGCAGATTCAGCCTGAAAACCCGTGAGTCCTACTCTTTCCTTCTGCACCCCAAAACGACGAACCCCAAACAAGGGGTGGTAACACTGAAAAATGTCACCAGCCGAGCAGCGCCCTTTGAAATCAGCCTTACATGTATGGGGACATGTGTGCGAGAGACAGAATTTATGACCCTCTGAACTTTTGTTCATTAGTTCATTAGTTCATAGATGTGAAAAGAGGTTCATCCAATGGAAATGAAGAAAAAGCAGGTCAACTTGGCTGACCTTGGCTGACCTTGGCTGACCTTGGCTGACGGTTAAGTTTTCTATCAATTTTTTTTTTTTGCTGTTGCTAATGATCCTTGGATATAGGAAGTTTTCCTACCGAATAGAATCATTCCCTATCATGGGTTGTTGGTGTTATTCAGAAAGCATAGACAGTTTCACGGCTTTTAAGTAGAAAGGCTTTGCCAAATCACTCACCAAACCCCTGGCCAGTAACCAGGACCAGAGAGACCCGAGGCCAGCTGGCCCTGGCGGGCTTCACCCCCACAAACACACTCAGTAGAATTATTCTCATCTGCACGACTTTTCATGGAAAATGACACCGTGGCTCTTGGTTTCCTTCCCTTGACCCATAGAGCAGCTCTCTCACCCTTTCCTTCTTAGCCTGTGACAGCTCCTGTAGAGAGGAGACGCTTTCTGAGTCACCCTCTTCCATCCGGGCACAGGTTTACTTCTAAATGGATCCTCTCTTTTTGAAACTTTTTTTTTCCCTCCAGGGATTGAACCAGGGGTTCAATCTAACTCTCCTAGATCAAAGGTCTCTTCCCTGCTAAGGAAGAATGGTCCCTGATAATAAAAACTCAACCCTGGCAGTGCACCCCTAGAATCCCAGGGGCTCTGGCCCTTGTTATTATTTTATTTTGAGACAGGGTCTTGCTAAGTTGCTGGGGTTGGCCTTCAACTTGCAATCCTCCTGCCTCAGCCTCCCGAGCAGCTAGGATTAGAGGCCTGCGCCTCTTAAACCTCTTTAAGGCTGACCTCCACCTCTGAGTCCAGTGGTCATCACCAGCCCTTTAAGACCCTGTCCTTTACATTCAAGATTCTCTATCTTGATCCGTCTCAGTGGCTCACGATTCAAGAAGAGCCCGGGTGTGAGTGCCCTTGTGAGCCCTGGTGGGGCAGGTGGCCAGCTGCTCTGCCACCTCTGTGGAGAACAAAGATAAACCTTGGCCTGAGAATAGGTCAGAGTCGTCCCCCGTGAGGACTGGGGACCTGGCTACTGCATCTCCCCCGCTGAGGGAGGACATCCCGCTCCTTCACACAGGCTGTGGCCATCTGGGCAGCAGAGGAGTCCACGGTGGCCTCAGCTGAGCAGAAACAGAAAAGCGGGCAGGAGAGGAGGAGCCGGGGGCAGGGCCGAGGCCGGGTCTGGGGAGGGAGCCCCAGGCCGCGGGATCTGACCGAGGGAGGCCCGGGGGGGGGGGGGGGGGCCGGTCACAGGACAGTCAGGGAGGAGGAAACGATGCACAGCAAGGACAGGCCCGGGTTAAACAGGGCGGAGGAGGAGTCCGAGGCTGGGTCCAGGGGCTCTGGAAACCAGGGGCGGCCGCGAGCCACGGGGGGTCACTGAGCGAAGATGCAGAGAAAGAAGCTCCTTCCTCCTCCACGCAGGGTCCCCAGGCTGCCGGAGTTCGTCATCAAAGGCATAGAGAGGGTCCTGCTGGTCACAATGACCCACAACCTGGGGGAAGTGGTGAGTGCACAGAACCCGGAGACCCAGAGGCGGTGGGTGGGTGGGAAGTGGGACGAAGTCCCGGGAAGGAGACTCAGAGGACAGCGGCAGCCTTTAGGAAGCCCCACCCAGCGCTGGCATGGGCTCCACAGAGGCCTTTAACCCCCACCAAAACTAGCGTCTGCCGGGCGATGTGGCCCACGCCTGTCACCCCAGCAGCTCACGGGGCTGAGGCAGGAGGATCGCGAGTTCAAAGCCAGCCTCAGCAAAAGCTAGGCCTTAAGCAGCTCAGTGAGACCCTGTCTCTAAATAAGATACAAAATAGGGCTGGGGATGGGGCTCAGTGGTCGAGTGTCCCTGAGTTCAATCCCCAGTACCTAATAATAATAATAATAATCAGCATCTGTGTGACCAGAGGTGAGTTGATGGGGTTCCCCAAGACTCAGTGTCCTTATCTGTACAAAAGCATGAATAATCATCAGTGAACACCCGATGCTCAAGCGTCTTCCATGAATCTTCTTATCTCATACTCTAGGTCATGTTATTATCTCCATTTTTAAACTTAAGGAAAGTTCCAGAAAAGGTCCATGACTTCCCCAAGTCATGCAGTTGTCAAAGGCTGAGCTGACATAGGACCCCGTTGCAGTCTGTCCCCCCACCCCTCCTACCTGTGTGTCCCCTCAGTGGTGTTGGCTTAGGACACCTTTCCTTGAGGGCCCTGTTCGGGCTGCATTGGCAGAGCCCCCACCGACTCGAGCCCATGACCTTGCCTTTCAGATGTGTCCTGTGATTGACAGAGCTCTGTCTGGCCTGAGTCCAGAGGTGGTGAATGAAATAATAAGTAAGTGCTGGAGGGGGCAAGGGACAGGAGAACTCCAGGAAGGAACTCAGACTTCTTCCTTGCCCTCTTCACTCACCTCATTTGATACCTCTCCTAGACCAAAGATCTCTTCCCTGCTAAGGAAGAATGGTCCCTGATAATAAAAACTCAACCACGACAGTGCACACCTAGAATCCCAGCAACTGGGGAGGCTGAGGCAGGAGGATTGCAAGCTAGAGACCAGCCTCAGAAACTTAGCAAGACCCTGTGTCAAAATAAAAAGGACTGGAGGTCTTGCTCAGGGGTCAAGTGCCTCTGGGTTCAACCTCCAGTACCAAAAAGCAAACAAACAAAAACCTAAGAAATACAGCTGTCATTTTCTGAGGGAGTCCAGTGTACCAAGGCCAGGGTTAAGCACGGTGCCTGTACTCACCATTGATACCCCATTCCCAGCTAAGGGCATGCTTGATTCTATTTTGGCCTCAAAATCCTAGAGAAGGTGAGATATGAATGGAAACTTCTCTGGGGTAGAAGATCTGCCTGATTCCCCCTTGACCCTCCTCCCAAATGCATACTGTTGCATATTTCAGAAAATCAGCCTGGTTTCAGCTCAGACAAAAACTACCTCCTTCCAGTGGTCTCTACCCCAAACACCCAAAATTTCCATGTCTGCCAAAACCCAAAGTGACAAATTTAAGATTGAATCTCAGGAGTCTGAAAACCATTAGAATGAATAGGTTGGAAGAGCTCTTCCTGGCTGGATGTTGTGGGGCACACCTGTAATCCCAGCAGCTCAGGAGGCTGAGCAGGAGGATTGTGAGCCTCAAAGTTCAAAGCCTCAGTAACTTACCAAGCCCCTAAGTAACTCAGCAAGACTCTGTCTCTTAATAAAATATGCCAAAAAGGGCTGAGGGTGTGGTTCAGTGGTTAAGTGCCCCTGGGTTCAATCTCTGGTACCAAAAAAAAAAAAAAAATTTTTTTTCCCTTCATTCGCTCGATATTCACTAGTCCTGCTGAGTGTTAATGCTGGGGTTTCTGAAGTTCCCTTAAGGGACCCTCCCAGAAAGCAATCTTTCTGGCCTCTGCTCACATGCCTCCATTGACAGGGAGCTCACTACTTCTGATGAAGGAAACCCGGGTGGACTTGGCACTGCCACAGCTTGGGTTCCCAGGCTAGCCCAAAGGGAGTGTGAGAGGGCAGCTCAGAAGCTCAACCTCGCTCTTCTGCTGGGCCACCACTTTGGAGAGATGGCCAGGTCAGTGGATACCCTAGAATGCCAACCTCCTCCACTGTCCCATTCCACGAGATCAGCTTATGAGTGACCGGCTCGTCCAAGATTCATCTGGGAGGAAGTGGTTGTTCCCAACCTGCTGATCGATGACTGACTCCGTGAGGAAGACTGGCCGTGAAAACTAAGTGCTTAGGAAGTGCTTTTCTATATGCCAGGAACTTGGAGGGTCTTAGATGAGTCCACACCGCTCCATCGGGTAGGGCTCAGCCCTCTCTGCGGGTGACAGAGGAGGAAACAGAGACAGCGAGAGAAAAAAATATTTGACCATAGTTTCACGGAAGAAGTTGGCAGAGACAGAGAGAACCCACATTGTTCAGCCACAGGGCCGGCACTGTTAGCAATTGGGCCTCAAAACAGGGTTGTCAGTGGGGTCCCCGAAGGCGCAGAGACAGAGGTTGGGGCGGGAAGCTCTGACTTGTCACTGGCTGTCTTGGATGACTCCACCGATGGCTTTTTCCTTTTGGTGCCGGAGATGGAACTCAGGGCCTTGCACATGCTGAGCACCCCTCTACCAGGGAGCTACCCCCGAAACCCTGTGAATTGTCTGTTTTGAGGCAGGTCTCACAAAGTTGCCCAGGTTGGTGGAGGGGTTGCCGAGCATGGGGTTCCTGAGTTCCATCTCCAACACCCCCCAAAAAATCAGAAAGCTGCCTCCATGCCTTTGGCTCATTCCCAACCCTGGCCTGCTCCAGTTGGACAGAGGAAACTCCTCTGGCCTCTAGGATCCTCTCCCAACCCCCTGGATGAGGTTCTGTTTTTTTATTCTAGATAAAATTGTGCAGCCCAGCGATGATCAAGAGACCAACGAAATACCCTCAAAGTGAAGGAGCCACATACTACCAATCAGGTGAGAGACCAGAGCATATTTCCATTCCTTAGTGATGACTCTGGGCCTTTTCGTCATTATGTCATTTATTCATTCATAAAATTTTAGTTAAGCATCTACTGTATTCTAGACACTGTTCTAGGTTCTCAGGATACACAGCAAATAGGGTAGACAAGGACTGTGCTCTCCTGGAGTTTGTGTTCTAACCAGGTATATAACAAGGAGCAAGGAAATAAGTATATAGTCAACTAAATTCCAGAGGGTGGCAGGTATTTTGCAGAAAACAAAGTAGGAAGATATGAGAATGAGTAATGGGGATGGTGGCAGGAAGGGAAGCATCAAAATGATACAGTCATTCTGAAGGCTC